GTAGAAAACAAAGGAAGGAATAAAAATGTATCTTATAAATGGTTCATATTTAATTCCAAGTAGGGCGTAATGGCAGAGGTCTAATTATTTCCTATTTTCAGGTTTAATTTCCTGTCAATAATGAATACTACACCCTTTCCCACTGTAGCCAGAAACCTCAGACAAGAATGCATTACTGTCTATTTAATATGTATGAAACCCCTCTGTTTTGTTTACACTTGCCACGACATTATTTGTCTTCTGTTACTATGGAAACATCATTACTTAAAATAACTTTTTTTTTTTAAATTTGTTCTATATTATGTATACTGGGATCCAGTATATTCTTAATGTGGGCTATTTCTGCTGTATATTATGAATGCTAAGACTCTTTATATACTCTATAATGTCCATAGGACATTCCATGCTAGCCTATAAATTATGGATTTTAAAGCAACTTAGTATGTAATAGATTGTCCTACATTTTGCTTCTCCCTACCTCTTGTCACTTATCTCCCACCAGGGCCTGCCATCAAGGGGTGACAACCATAATGGTTGTCACAGGCCCGACGGCCCTGGGGGCCCGGCCGCCCGGGACCCGCATGTAGCGGCGAAACTGCCACCGGTGCAGTTCCACCGGGGCCTGCACGCTGATGGGGCCCATATCTTCAGGGGTCTGGTCAGCGTTGTGGCAGTGGTAAAGCGCGACCAGGCCCCTTCAAAAAAAAAAAGCAGCCTCAGCAAGTGCTGCTGGGAGGAAGTTATCACTTCGTCCCAGTTCCCTCCGCGTGGGAGGAGCGCGCGCGTGGCAGTGAGGGAGAGCCGCGATGACTCTTATCAGCCCCAGCCACCCTCCTGCAAAGAAAAGGTAAGAAACCGAGGGTGGCTGGAAAATGAGCTGTGTGTGTGTGTGTGTATTTCTATGTATGTCTGTCTGTATGTATGTATGTATGTCTATGTCTATGTCTGTCTGTCTGTATTTATGCATGTCTGTATGTATGTCTGTCTGTATGTATGTCCGCATGTATGTATGCATGCATGTCTGTATTTATGTTTGCATGTATGTATGTCTATGTATGTATGTCTATATGTCTGTCAGTATGTATGTATGTCTATATGTCTGTCAGTATGTATGTATGTATATATGTCTGTCTGTATGTATGTCTGCCAGTATCAATGTATGTCTGTATGTCATTATGTATGTCTGTCTGTATATATGTATGCATGTATGTCTGTATGTATGTATGTATGCCAGTATCAATGTATGTCATTATGTATGTATATATGTATGTCTGTATGTCAGTATGAATGTATGTCTGCATATCATTATGAACATATGTCTGTGTGTATGTGTGTATGGATGTCTGTATCCATGTATGTTAGTATGTCTGTATGTATGCATGCATGTATGTCTGTATGTATGTATGTATGTCTGTATGCTATTATGAATGTATGTGTGTATGGATGTCGGTGCCTGTATGTATGTGTCTTTATGTCCTCATGCATGTGTGTCTGTATGTATGTTAGTATGTGTCTGTCTGTCACTATGTATGCCTATGTGTCTGTATATGTGTGTATGTCTCAGTATGGGTGTGTCAGTATGTATGCCTGTATGCGTGTATGTCTGTTTCAGTATGTGTGTCTGTTAGTATGTATCTGTGTCCTTTTCTATCAGTGTGTGTGTTTGTGTCTGTGTGTGTATTCCTGTGGGCGGTATTTGGAGGCGGACCCTGTGGGCGGTATTTGGAGGCGGGCCCCAGGGAGCCCTGACCTGGAGCTGAGTTTCTGGTGGCGGCCCTGTCTCCCACTACATGACAAACCGTCCTCTCTGCTCTCTTTACCTCTTTCACCTAACCCCTACACCCATGCAATCCTTTCACTGGAGCAAGCCCTCTCCCCAAATCAAGCCTGTCACCTCTCTTTCATCTTTACACAAACTTCTAAAGGCACACTTCTTCACTGAAATGTTCCCGGCCTTTTCCTAATCTGATCTCTCATTCATCCCTCACAGCTCAACATATCTGACAGTACCACCCTTACATTATTTCCTGATCCTTAGCAGTCCGCCCAACGCCCAGGCTCCTTCCTGTTCCCTTGGAACAAGATTTCCATACAAATGCAAACTGATTCCCATGATCAAACTAGGTCAATCTCATCTACAACAATCACTGTTTTCTTTACCACCAGCTTCTATTCTTTGTAGGTCTCTGACAAGGGGGTTCACTTGACTTCTTGCTTCTTATTAACCTAACTCTGTGTCTCTATTCTATAATTTTCTTACTGTATTGTCTTTCTTGTTGTAATATTCTCCAAATTCAATGCATAGTGACTGCAAATCAGTTGTGGATACAATTCTGTTACTTCACAACCCCCCTCTAGATTGCAAGCTCATTGAGAGAGTTCTGTTCTCCTTTTGTTTCAGTGTTTCAAAATTTTTATCTCATATTTGTATATCTACCGATGTTAATTTACATAACTTTTAAAGTGCTCTGGTTAACGTGCTATATAAAAAATTTTTAATCAAATAAATATATTTTAGATGTGAGCAGTGTTAGATCTGGATTGATACGCGGAGTTCACATTGGTCAGCACAGACCAAATTTTGTGGTCCCAAGCTGAGTGATTAGACATGGCAAGCATTCAAAGAGAGCACTGTTGCATCAGTAGAAAATAACATGGCTGCACTTGACTATTCAGCCACACCCCTGCAATGCCATTAGTTATACTGTGGTGGACTAGGGCTGCTCACAAGGTCTTAAAAGATCTTTACAGAGTTCTCCTGTCACACACTGTGTCTAATCACACTCCATGCTCTCCCTAAGTGTAGTTATAGTATTAGAGGAGGAGGTAGCATGGGTGGTAGATTGTACTGGTAGGTTGGACCTGCTGTCTCCGTGAGTGCTTTCCTGTTCTGTTTATTGATTCAAAAATACAGACTTGTGGTATCTTTGCAGGTGTTGCTTCATACTAGTCCTAGTGAGTTGAGCCTTTATTCACTCCCAGCTCACTTCCTTGCTGCACAATTTGCACTTTGCAAGTTGACCTTCTTGGAAACACAAGTGATCCCAAACTTTGCTTTGTTCATGTGATACATTAGTCCTCACCTTTTGCCCTGTTAAGATGCAGATAGATTTGAATGACAGTGGAATTGTCACAACACTATCCTTTACACACATACTTGATTGATTAATGGAAATTTTGTTGTTGTTTTTTTGGTGGTTGTAGTAATGCTGCTGCTGAGGATACCATTGACTGTGTGTGAGCCTCTTGTGCCTGTAGTTGCATGTGTTACTGATGTCACAAATATCTCCATTGGTTGAGACGATTCTAAAGCGCATACAGATGGACTTGGAGATGGTGGACATGATGCAGTAGGCAAGTGCACACTAGCTGCTGGAGATAATACTGGGCTGCTGCCTCTCCTCTCCACAATCTCCTCTTCTAATTCCTCTGACTTAACATAGTCATAATCGAGTAACACTCTCTCTCTCTCTATGTATATATGTATATATATAGAAAGTGGAAAGACCGGCACTCAAGGAGTTTTAACAGCTTTTACTGTGTAAAGATAAATCAACGTTTCAGCTCCACTAGGGAGCTTTCATCAGGACATATATATATATATATATATATATATATATATATATATATATATATATATATATATATATATAGAGAGAGAGAGAGAGCGCAATAGTTTAAAAAAATGTATCAATACTTTTGCAAGTGCTTTATGCTCACCTGATACTTTGACTGTCTGTCTGTCTGTCTGTCTGTCTGTCTGTCTGTCTGTCTGTCTGTCTGTCTGTCTGTCTGTCTCTCTCTCTCTCTCTCTCTCTCTCTCTCTCTCTCTCTCTCTCTCTCTATATATATATATACCGTGTTTCCCCGAAAATACACCCTACCCCGAAAATAAGCCCTAGCTGAATTTTCGGGGTGGGCTGCAATATAAGCCCTACCCCGAAAATAAGACCTAGGCATTGTACCTTTCGGCCCGGCGGGACTTCCTTCTTCTATGAGGAGGAGGAGGAGCGTTGCAGGCAGCGGCATCGCGCAACGTGATGACGACGTGCGCAGCGTCGTCAGTCTGCCTTCACGGATCTTCAGCGGAAGGATCCATTTCCGGGCGGTGAGGCACCCAGTGGTCGGACTCGGCGAGCAAGGAAGGCATCTTTGAAATGTGAGTAGATATTTTATGTCTGGGACTGAATTAATTAAAGGGGGCGATGAATTAATTAAAGGAGGCGGTGAATTAATTAAAGGGGGGGCTGGATTAATTAGAGGGGGGTGGATTTATTAAAGGGGGGTTGGATTAATTAAACGGGGGGTGGATTTATTAGAGGGGGTGGATTTATTAAAGGAGGGGTGGATTTATTAGAGTGGGTGGATTAATTAGAGGGGGGTGGATTAATTAGAGGGGGGTGGATTAATTAAAGGAGGGGTGGATTAATTAAAGGAGGGGTGGATTAATTAAAGGAGGGGTGGATTAATTAAAGGGGGGTGGATTTATTAGAGGGGGGTGGATTAATTAAAGGAGGGGTGGATTAATTAAAGGAGGGTGGATTAATTAGAGGGGGCTGGATTTATTGGGGGGGTGGATTTATTGGGGGGGTGGATTAATTAAAGGAGGGTGGATTAATTAAAGGGGGGTGGATTAATTAGAGGGGTGGATTAATTAGAGGGGGTGGATTTATTAAAGGGGGGTGGATTAATTAAAGGGGGGGTTCAATGTACATACCGGTACCATAAATAAATAAGCCCTACCCTGAAAATAAGCCCTAGTGTGTTTTTTGGGACTAAAATTAATATAAGACCCGGTCTTATTTTCGGAGAAACACGGTATATATATGTACATATATACATATGTACATATGTTTTAAGGCCATTTGGCCTGTATTTGTGGGAGGGGCTTAAATTAATTCACTCCCCTATATAAGGGACACCCCTTACCTGACTCATATCGCTTGAGGTCAGCATCAGAATGATTTCCACTTCCGGGTCATCCAGACGCCATTTTACCTGATTACTCCATGAGGTTTTCTAAGCTGAGCTGTGTCAGGAATTCAGCCACAGGCTTTTCCGGCCTATCACCTTCTTTCTTCAATCTATTGCTGTGGATGGTGTCCAAGTGACTCACAAACCGTAAGTCGACCTACCCGTTACGCCAGGCATCAGTCCCACGGCACCATGCACGGGTCAGGTCCTCACTTTACGGCTGCATTTGGTCTAAATCTGTCCTAAAACCATTGCATGTTCATGCATATCATTCGTTTAAACTCACTTGTTTATATCTGTCACTGGCTCATTTCGAGCATTAGTATACTCCCAAACGGGAACACATTCTGTTTCAATTGCCTAAACATACTAGGCAATTCTGTGCGTGCATTTCGAATCTCACTGCTCGTTTCGTTTTGTTTCCCCGACATACCAGGCTCACGGTTCGTGTAATTTTCTACCAAACGGGTACTAGTTCATGCATTTACTATTGTACTACACACACGTTTCGTGTGTTTACAACCCATGAACAGAACTTTGGTTGGTTACAATGACTGTTATTAAGCTATTATGTTCACTTATTGTATATTGTCAAACGGGCACTGTTTGTTCCACAACTATAATGCTGGGGCATAGCTCACAAACAATGTTTCACATAAACCACACTGACCCCTACAGGTCACTCTCAAAATCTCACGTTAACCTTGCATTTGGATTAACCCCTTAAGGACCAAACTCTGGAATAAATGATATGTCACACATGTCATGTATCCTTCAGGGGTTAAAGGGTATTTTACCATACAATCAGCATTTTTGACCCCTACTGGTCAACAGCAAAACTGTCTTCACATGTCATATACAATTACCAGCCAATATAAATTACGCATAAGATTGTTTTAAACATAACCATAAACCATGAATTAAACTCCAACACGGGCTCAACTTCAGGTTTAATTCACAATAATTTACATTTCACATTAAGACTAACAGTGGTTCTATCAACACCGCCACCTACAGGTCTGTCAAGTACATTGACAATTTTCATGGGGTTTTACAAACACCAAAACACTGACCCCTATAGGTCAACAGACAAACAACATTTCACATACCAATCAGTATCAACTACACTGCCACCTATAGGGCACTCAGCAGATCTCCAGTGCACTTGCATTTTGCAACTCCATGTTCACTTGCCATTCAATAAGGCATACAACAATTCACATAGCAAGCAGTATATCAATATCTGTTATAAATACACATATTATTACACAGTAGCACACGCATCTGTATATACGTAACTGGTAATATGGTTCACATACATACAGCACTTAATGGGTTAAGATTGATACATATTTAACCAGTATGGATATGATGTTTAATATTTACATATCACGGCACTTTACTTTCACATATACTGTATGTTTTAAGATAAGCTTGGTCTATGCCATATTTCCTTATGCCATACGATTTTATACATTCAGGTTACAGTTACTACTAAAAAACCTATAAGGATTGTCAGGTTCAATACCATACTACCAGGTACGTACACCTGCTCACGTAGTTATCCATCTTTTACCTTCCTTGTAATAGTGTACTACCGGCAATTAGGGTTCTAGGGCCCAATAGGTATAACCCCCTTTTTTCTCTGCATTATGCTTCAGTTAGTGGTCCCGCGAGGCCAACACCCCGCCTCACACTCAGAGGCATACACCCCTCGGGCCACTCGTGAGCTAGCCGCCTCGCATTGTATCATAGAGAGGGCCTCACCTGTCACTCCCCTTCCTATTTTTATGGTTACTGTCACCGAGAGGCCAACATCCTGCCACAACGTTCGGTGGCCACACAAAATCCCCTTGCGCCAAGCATAGATAGAGCCTCTCAAGCCACTTGGCAACTAGCAGGGCCTCACCAGTCACCACCAAAAACAAACACCAAGCCTAATCGTTTCACCTTACGGCTTAGCTAGCAAGCCGGTACAAGACCCCTGGGTACAAATATATAATTGCAATCTTTATTGTTATTTAAGTATTTCTCAAAAGATGGTAAGAATCACCTCTTCCTAGCACCCCGGCTAGAAGTGATACACCTTCATCTCTTACCTTCCCTGGAATAGTAGTAATGTACTGGCAATTAGGGTTCTATGGCCCAATAGGTATTACCCCCGTTTCTCTGCTTTACGCTTTGGTTAGTGGTCCCGCGAGGCCAACACCCTTCCTCACACTCGGAGGCATACACCCCTCGGGCCACTCGTGAGCTAGCCGCCTCGCATTGTATCATAGAGAGGGCCTCACCTGTCACTCCCCCTCCTATTTTTCTGGTTACTGTCACCGAGAGGCCAACATCCTGCCACAGCGTTCGGTGGCCACAAAAAATCCCCTCGCGCCAAGCATAGATAGAGCCTCTCAAGCCACTTGGCAACTAGCAGGGCCTCACCAGTCACCAAAAAACACCAAGCCTAATCGTTTCGCCTTACGGCTTAGCTAGCAAGCCAGTACAAGACCCCTGGGTACAAATAATAATTGCAATCTTTATTGTTATTTAAGTATTTCTCAAAAAGATGGTGAAGAATCACCTCTTCCTGGCACCCCGGCTAGAAGTGATACACCTTCAAGCAGAGGAGATGTGGCTCCGACCTAAGGAGGCGACAAATCCCCTACCCTGCCACAGCAAGGAAAGCAGAGTTATTCAAACTCCTCCATACATCAACGGACAACACGGAGGCAGGGGAAGGCCCAGCAACACCAACTCAGGTGACACCCAGGCCATGCTAGCTCACTCATAAACTCATGAGCCAAAAAATTTACGACAGACTGGCAATTTCGAGTCAGTCACAGCCTTCACAAGGCTGGGCCTCACGCTACTGTACAACCAGCACCAACCGAAACTCGGTTACTTGGTACAAGACGTTAACCCTGCACATATGATCCCGGCACATTGGGGAAACAAGGCATATATATGTATGATGATGTATCTATAATGGTCAGACCCAGGGATTCTAGGTAAATCGGGAACTGACCATCCCTTGGTTGTGTTGGCATTTGGAATATGTAGAGATGCTTATTTGCGCAGGTACCCATACAGAAGGGATTTTCTCCCAAACAAATGGACGAGCACTCTCAGGCTCCAGGTACCAGCATCTCTGAGCTACCAGAGACAATTGGTATTAGTAGTTGCATTGCATATAGACTGTTGCATATACGTTCAAATCATTCAGGGCACATGACAAACCATGTGTCCCAATACAACTTACAAATAACGTACTCACCATCTGTACACACCAATGCATTTTCAACACTACTGACTCATCACCCTTCCAGACTTGTAGTAGAGTTACTAAGGCTCTGGAGCTTCAAAGGGCTCCCATACAGTTATCATAAATAAACTCTCAAGGAATATAGCATGCCCTCACTTACAGTCAGCACAACAGAACCGTCGGCTGTAAACACACTCATAGCCAAGATTTGCAGAGGGGTTTTTACTTGGGTTTTCCAATCTCCACCATTTACAGCATGGCACCAAACACAAACGCATTGGTATTGTCACAAGGGAATCTTCCCTTAAACAAAGACTAACCATAGACTTATTGGCACCACACACCTTTGCTACCCCAAGTTTCAACTCTCTCATACCCTCTGAGGAGTTTCCTTACTATACACACCATTGATCTTCCTTTACAGCTATCACTCAAGCAGGGGTTGAAGCTTCGTTAAGTAAGACCAATATCATCAACACCGTAAACGGCTACCATCTACCCTACAAACTGGCACTTACATGGCATAAAATGGGCAATCCTTTCCCCGCTAAAAGCAGCTGCTGTGGCATGGGGTAAATCATGGTCAGGGTCATCAATCCGTTGTTACTCAGACAACTAAGCACATGTCATATCATCAACAAATGCCACTCATCATCCATACGATCATGGTATTGCTGGGGAACTCACTTGGTTGGCCACTTACCACATTTCTTTTACTTTCATGTACCAGGCGGTGGTATACATCCTTGCCGACAATTGTCTCATTTATATTCCAGGCACGTTCATCATACGCTTCCTACAGCCTTGTATACAGTCACGGCCACTCTTTCGTTCCAGAGACAAAATCATGGATTAGACATACTCATGCAGCATAGCATGCACTATCCCACCTAGCACTTTCATCCCATACTTGTAGAACGCACCTATTCACCTGTCTTTAAAGAATCTCATTGGAACACGACATAGCTCAACCTGTGTCATAACATTTCTCCTAGGTTTTGCTTCATTTTTTGCCACCTTAAACTAAAACCATCTCACACACCATTAATTATATATTTTCCAGGTATTCAATAACACAGGATAACCTATGGCCAAAACTACCATAACTTCATGCTATCATACCAGACAAGAATATACTCAGAGGTTTTCAGGAATCCATCCCCCCACGTTCCTCTCAGATATTACCAATAGCCATCCAACTTTTCCATCCTTATCGGACCTATTAGAGCTACAACCTTTCAATTATACTACCAAGTTGGCCATTACCAGCCATGCACACTGCCTTTTATGCCTTTCTCAGGCCAGAGAATCACCTACCATAACCACCATTCAGACAGATCATTGTCTTCAACGATCCCACGTGTGTAAACACATATATCATTACCTATTGGCTCTACCACATTCCGAAACGAGTCAACACGCACCAACAGTAGAGATAACATACTATCCTACCCACAACAAATGGTGTCCAGTTGCGGTCCTAGATTCCTACCTTCAAAATCCTTCAAGGAATTAAATACGTAATGCATTTAAGGAAATGTCTGGTTAATTTGTATATATTGTTGACTGTATTAAATCTTTGATTATTCTTTTTGCCCTCTTTATTTACAGGCCTACCGTATCGTCGGTCTCGGCACACCACAACCGACTTGCTCCCTTTATACTATCCTACGCTTATGCTGGAACCTTACTCCATATACGGCTATTTGCCCCGAACACAAGTTTTAAGGCCATTTGGCCTGTATTTGTGGGAGGGGCTTAAATTAATTCACTCCCCTATATAAGGGACACCCCTTACCTGACTCATATCGCTTGAGGTCAGCATCAGAATGACCCTCCCACCCACTCCTCATTTCAACACTTTCTCTTTTCTTTCCATTTACTTTACTTACTTACTCCTTGGTGGGCCCTCTTTATTTACAGGCCTACCGTATCGTCGGTCTCGGCACACCACAACCGACTTGCTCCCTTTATACTATCCTACGCTTATGCTGGAACCTTACTCCATATACGGCTATTTGCCCCGAACACAAATATATATATATATATATATATATATATATATATATATATATATACACACACACACACACACACACACTAATAGGTGGGCCCTCTTTTCAGGCCCTACCCTATTAGTCTGTTTCAGCACACCTCAACCAACTTGCTACTACCATTATAACTTAATCCTTAATGTATGCTTTGGGCTTTGGCTTTTTGACCCCGACCACAAATATATATATATATATATATATATATATATATATATATATATATATATATATATATATATATCACGTTGTGGCAGGCTTATGCAATGTATGATCATATAATGTAACTAAACCCCCATTATTTTTGCCTAGATTAGGTCTACATTGAAGTTGCTGTTTAGTGGATAAGGGAGTGCGCTGGATCTTGTGTGCAGCACCCCATTTATGCATGTTCAGGTTCCTGGTTTCAATATATATCTATATCTATATATCTATATCTGTATCGATCTATATATGTATCTATCTATATGTATACCCTGTTCCAAATTATTCTGCAAATTCTATTTAAGTGTCACAAAGATTAAATATTTTGTTTTTCAGTTTAACTCATGGATGGCATTGTGTCTCAGGGCTCTTTTGATCTCTGAAAACAATCTGACACCTATGATAATTAGATTGCCAGGTGAGCCCAATTTAAAGGAAAAACTACTAAAGGAGGGTGTTCCACATTATTAATCAGAGCACCATTTTCATGCAATATGGGGAAGAAAAAGGATTTCTCTGCTGCCGAAAAGAGTGAAATAGTTCAATGCCTTGGACGAGGTATAAAAAAAAATTAGACATTTAACGAAAACTTAAGCGTGATCATCACACTATTAAGCGATTTGTGGCTGATTCAGAGCACAGACGGGTTTGTGCAGATAAAGGCACATTGAGGAACATTTCTGCCAGATCCATGCATCAGATGAAGAGAGCAGCTGCATAAATACCATTACATAGCCGTAAACAGATATTTGAAGCTGCTAGTGCCTATGGAGTCCCACGGACATCAAGGTGTAGAGGCCTCCATTGTCTTACAACTGTGCATAAAACTTCTATTCGGCCACCACTAACCAATGCTCACAAGCAGAAACGGCTGCACTGGGCATAAAAACACATGAAGACTAATTTTCAAACAGTCCTGTTCACTGAGGAGTGCCGTGCAACCCTGGATGGTCCAGATGGATGAGTAGTGGATGGTTGGTGGACGGCCACCCTGTTCCAACAAGGCTGCGACGTCAGCAAATCGGTGGTGGAGTCATTTTTTGGGCCGGAATCATGGGGAGAGAGCTGGTCGGCCCCTTCTGACCTCTGCAAAGTATGTGGAGTTTCTGACTGACCACTTTCTTCTATTTGTGTCACAAAGATTAAATATTTTGTTTTTCAGTTTAACTCATGGATGGCATTGTTCTACAGAAGGAAGAACTATGCTTTCCGTAATGACTGACCACTCTCTTCTATTTAAGTGTCACAAAGATTAAATATTTTGTTTTTCAGTTTTACTCATGGATGGCATAGTTCTACAGAAGGAAGAACTATGCTTTCCGTAATAAAATCATCTTCATGCATGACAATGTACCATCTCATGCTGCAAAGAATACGTCTGCATCAATGGCTGCTATGGGGATAAAAGGAGAGAAAGTCATGGTGTGGCCTCCATCCTCCCATGACCTCAATCCTATTGAGAACCTTTGGAGCATCCTCAAAAGATCTATGAGGGTGGGAGGCAGTTTACATCCAAACAGCAGCTCTGGGAGGCTATTCTGACATCTTGCAAACAAATTCAAGCAGAAACTGTCCAAAAACTCACAAGTTCAATGGATGCAAGACTTGTGAAGCTACTATCAAATAAGGGGCCCTATATTAAAATGTAACGTGACCTGTTAAAATGTTTAAAAAGTTAAAATATTGTTATAAGTTTGATTGAAATAGCTTTTGATTTCAGTAAATAAGCTGCAAACACAACAAATGACCATTTTCAGTTCTTTACAACCTATAAAGTATTTTGAAACTTACTGTGTGTAATAATTTGGAACAGTGCATTGTAAGTTTTTTAGGTTTAAAAAAATTACGGTTATTAGGTTTGTTCAATAAAATTTGAATTGTACTCTTAATAGTTGATAACGAGAATTATGCTGACTTATTTACAAAAATTATTTAGGTAAATGTGAAAAATATAATTTGCATAATTTGGAACAGGGTGTATATGTATATATCTATATATGTATATCTATCTGAATGAACTGATATGTTCAATCTAAATGGTAACCTTATGCAAAATGAAAAAAGACAAAAACAACAAAATTCTACAAAATGGATTTTTTATTAAATGAAAGAAAAATCTTTTTTGTGGATTTCATTTATGAAATAGAATATACAAAAACTTTACATTAGTCCTCTCAATTGAATAAAATCCTATTGCAGTTTAATCTAGCACTCATTTTCTGTCCGAGCACAATGCATGAAGACATTCTCCATGGTGTAAAGCACTGAGCTACAACAGCTTATGGAGAGGCAAGGTTAAAAATCTACACACTGCTCTTCTAACAAATCCAAACTAGAGCACAGAGGAAGATGTCTGAGAGTTTACAATGCCTCTGATCACATTCTCTATATCTATACAAATATATATTGTATTCGTTTAAAAAAATGTTTTATCTTGTATGTATGTGAAAAGCGCACAATTACAGGCTATTTATTTTCTCACGCACTATGGGGTTTTTGTCCAGAGATGGTGTGATATTCCCCCAAGCCACTTTGAGACCCTATCCCATACCCCCCAAAAAATCATAAAATAAAATCTTTCCTACTATATGGAGCTCAGAGAAGAGCATTACATGTCTTTGGCATATCACAACAATTTCCCATTAATACTTGGTTTCCTTTTCTAAAAACAAACAAAAAAAACAAAATGGTGCATTTTCTTTAGTAAAATAAATTTAAAACAATCAAAAGATGTGTAGAATGACAAACCTGTGAACCAGCAAAATATACATATGTCTCCGGAAAATGAAAAATATAATAAAATACAGAAAGAATAAGATCACACATACATTGTAAGTCCATTTATGACCGCATGTCCTCGATTGATTAAACATTTCCCTAGTGGGAACAGAGTGTCATATGAAGTCATTGAGTTCAGCTTCAATAGCAGCTGCCATTTCATCAGCTTCAGAACTGCTACCTTCCTCGTCCTCATTGCTGGATTCACTGCCATCATCTTCCTCTTCATCTTCCAGCTTTCTCTTATGACCTCTAGGGAAAGCAGAGAGGTTTAAAATGATTAAAAGTTAAGCTTAAACTATAAACATGGTTATAGTGGCCAGATTTTTATAACAGTTAAAGAGTTACACAGCTTATAACGAGAATCAATAAATCTGTATCTACAATTGAAGAAAAATAAAAGGAAACGTGGCATTAACCAAGAACTAGACCAGGGTTTGACAAAACACAGATCTAAAAGGTAACGCTTAAAGGGACACTTCACACACAAATCACTTTAGCTTTCTGAAATGTGTTGTGTGAATAGTGTGTCCTCTTTTTTCATGTTACAACTGCAAATGTCCCACTCCTGTGGCGCTGAGGGGGGAGGAAGGGATTAAAAACTTACCTTTTTTCCAGCGCCAGGACTCTCCTCCCTCTTCTACAGTCACTGGCTGACTGCGCGTCAAGAGCCACGCGCGCATTCAGCCAGTCTCATAGGAAAGCATTATCAATCACAGTGAGAAGCGCCTCTAGCGGCTGTCAGTGAGACAGCCACTAGAGGCTGGATTAACCCTAAAGTAAATGCTATGTTTACTGCAAAAAGGGTTAAACCTAGCTGGACCTGGCACCCAGACCACTTCATTAAGCTGAAGTGGTCTGGGTGCCTATAGTGGTCCTTTAAAGTTCAATTTACAGAAAAAGATACAATTGTTTAAGGTAAATTACATCTGGTTGAAAGTGAAAGGCTGTGTCAATGAGAGCCAGGGGAGGTGTGACAAGGGCTGCATAAACAGAAACAGTGATTTAACTCCTAAATGGCAGAGAATAGAGCAGTAAAACATGAGAAGCATGATCTACACACAAAAACTACTTCATTAAGCTAAAGTTGTTTAGGTGACTATAATGTTCCTTTAAGATTATGTCCAGGTAAAACCACAGGATTGCAGCTTACAGTAATGTAATCACATACGATGCACACAAGAAGGAAATATAGTAAGCATTTTTTTTTTTGATCAGCCATATCCATACAGAAACACATCAAATTATACGGGATGATACTCATGTGAGTGTATAGATAAAGGAGGAGGGACAGAATAAGTTAAAGGGACACTATAGTCACCTGAACAACTTAATGCAGCAGTTTTGGTGTATAGAACATGCCTCTGCAGCCTCACTGCACAATCCTCTGCCATTTAGGAGTTAAATCCCATTGTTTATGAACCCTAGCCACACCTCCCTGCATGTGACTTGCACAGCCTTCCATAAACACTTCCTGTAAAGAGAGCCCTATTTAGGCTTTCTTTATTGCAAATTTCTGTTTATTTAAGATTTTCTTATCCCCTGCTAGATTAGTAGCTTGCTAGACCCTGCAAGAGCCTCCTGTATGTGATTAAAGTTCAATTTAGAGATTGAGATACAATTATTTAAGGTAAATTACATCTGTTTGAAAGTGAAACCAATTTATTTTTCATGCAGGCTCTGTCAATCATAGCCAGGGGAGGTGTGGCTAGGGCTGCATAAACAGAAACAAAGTGATTTAACTCCTAAATGACAGTGAATTGAGCAGTGAAATTGCAGGGGAATGATCTATACACTAAAACTGCTTTATTTAGCTAAAGTAATTTAGGTGACTATAGTGTTCCTTTAAGTGAAAACACCACAAAAATAAAGATAAATGCAAATACCCCATAAAAAGATTAAGATGTTCGATAACCCCACTTTGCTTATAAGAGATGTCCTAAATCACCATAGCTCCTTATTTTAAGTTAAGA